CCCCCTATGCCTATGCTCCCCCTTCATTGCCCCTGAACTTTCCCCATGCCGCCGAGCTCCGGCTCCTCTTGGGGTCGGGGCGTGCGCAGGGGCCTGGGTCAGACGTCGACCCCCCGAGGACCTGTGGTGGCTGTGCCGGGCGGCGCACCAGCCGGTGGTCCCGCCGGTGGTCCTCGGGAACGAGGAGCTCCAGAGGGTGGACGAGGCCTGGCTGCGCGCACAATCGGGGGCCACATGCGAACCCTACACAACCCAGGTCTGAGCTGCCCCGATACGCCCATGCTGAAGCGCAACGCGTGCCGTGTTCAAGACGTCCGTGTCAGCACGCTGCGTGTTGCCTCGGCACGTGCTGGCCCACGATTTGGCGCACGTTTCGGGTCATGCCTACGTTTTCAGTCTACGCGATGAGCTGCGTGTCGACACGCCACGTGTTGCGTGCTGCGTGCTGTGGCAGCTGCGGCGACGATCCGATTTTGCCAACCGGTGTTTTTTTCAGTGATTCCAGCCCTCGGTGGCCATCCTCGGGCCCTGGGACCATCCAAGATGTATCCAGGAAGCAAGTTTGCCCTTGGCGAAGCGGTCTGGGCCTCTGGGGCCGCGGATGGAAGCATGATAGCGTCGGATGTCTGGGCCACGCGGTGGCGCGAAGGGGGCGGCCTTCTTAGAGGGCGGGGGGGGCCTTCTCGTAAGGCAGGGGCCTTCTCAGACGCGCCTGGGCACCTCCGAGGAGGCCCCCCAGAAGCCGGGAGGGCTTCCGACAAGGCCCTGGCCTTCCCGAAGCCATCTCCTTATTCTTTCTTGGTGTGTACTCTTACCTTGCCACCTGTCACGGGGGTGATACGTTTTCCGGCGAATTCGTATCTTGTGTTATCTGCCTTGTCGTTGACTGCGTCCGTTTCCACACTTTTGGTGAGGAAGAAGACGGCTTTCAAGTGCAACCGGCATTCGCGTTACGACGGTGGTTCTTGAATCTTGCGGTCCGCTCCCATCTTCTCCCTCAAAAGAATAATTAAACAAGAATTCTTACTCTGCCACCTAGCCGGTCGATTGCCACTGGATGTGGGGGGTCTTTCTGTCAAGAGACATTCCAGAGTTTAGGTTCTTCGTCTTAACATGGGCATCATGGCGTCCATCGTGCAAAATATGCGTGGCAGGAGTGGGACGGGGCGCACGTCCCACGCCAGAGGCCGACATTTCGTTCTCGTCTCGGCGCGTTCACTTTCCTAGAAAATGGAACGCCCGATTGGGCGCGACCTGCACGGGAGCGGGCGAAAGTGTCGCTACTGCCTCGGTCCCGCCCAGATTTCGCGTGAGAATGGCGCTCCCGTCTCGACGCGGTGCATATCTGTCACTCGTCAGTTTTTTTGGGGGGCCCGCGTGAGTCGGCGACGTGTCGCCCTCGCCCAAACTCCGTGCTCATTTTGCTCGGTAGTGGCGGTCCAACGCGGGCGCGGCGCGTGGCTCATTAGCCGACTCGCGTGAAATCGACAGCGGCAGCGGGGCCGCGCGAGCGCGGGCGAAATGCCGGCCTCGCCCAAGCGCCGCGCAGTTTGTGAGTGAAAGTGGTGGTGCTCCGTTAGCGCGCGGCGCGTGCTTCGTCTTCGCCGCGCCCATCGGAAGTTCTCCCTTCGCCAAGTCGTCGGAAGCGGGGCCGCGGCCGAGCGTCTTCTGTTTGCGAGACGGGAGCGCGTTCCATTCCCAATGCAGTCGGGTCGCTGAAGCAGGACCCCTTTTCGTTGGGGAGGGGCTCCGTGTTCCTTAATTGTGTCGCAGCTTGCCTCAGGTTTCCCTTATGTATTCGATGGGAAGTCGAAGTTCAGCTTCTGGAAAAAAAGGGGGCCTCGTTCCTCATTTGGGGTTCGGTAGGTCAGCGCCCCGACTGTATCAGATTGTGCCACAGTCGATTCTTATGCTGTGTGCGGGGGGGGGGAGGGTGGGAGTGGCCGGGGCCCTCCGTTCGCCGCTCCTGCCGCTGCTCCCCGGACCTCTCTCTCCCGGGATGCGCTCCGACCAGAACTCTTCGGGGCGCGTCCGGCCGTGGCGACGTGAAGGCCTCGTGCAGGAGGCCCCGGACGGCGACAGCGAGGCAGGGATGGCGGTGGCGGTGCGATTTCCTCCTCTGAGCTTGCCTCCCCCCCGCCTTCGTCGAAGGCGCCTGGATCCATCGAGGCTCCTCCTCCTCCTCCTCCTCCTCCTCCTCCTCCTCCTCCTCCTCCTCCTCCTCCTCCTCCTCCTCCTCCTCCTCCTCCTCCTCCTCCTCCTCCTCCCCCCCCTCCCCCCCCCCTCCTCGCCCCTCCCGCGCCGAACCCCTCTGGTGCGCGCCGCCCCGAGGCCGTGGAGAGCGCCATCGAGCGGCTCCGTGAGCGGGCAGAGAGCCACGCGGAGTCCCACGCCAACCAGGTGGGAGGAGGAGCTCGAGCAGGAGGAGGGAGGGGGTGAATGGTGGACGACGAGGAGGGGGAGGAGGAGTAGTATTGAGGAGGAGGAGGTGGAGCTGGGAGGAGGAGGAGGAGGAGCAGAAGGAGAAGGAGAAGGCGGAGGAGGAGGAGGAGGAGGAGGAGGAGGAGGAGGAGGAGGAGGAGGAGGAGGAGTCCCACGCCAACCAGGTGCGCGCCAGGATCATGATCATCCCGCAGGTGGTGTCTTCTCCTCCCCTGAGATTCTGGCGTCGCATTTTTTCGCAGCGTGCGATTTTGCCTTGTTTCGGGCCCCGTGACCCTCACGGATCGATCCGGCTCGACAAGTGCAGCAGAAAGATAGGGTCCAGGGCTCCGGTCGAGTTTTCTGCGATGCTTCAACTTTTCCGTGACGTCAGATCTCAGGGTCTTCCTCTCTCGGCTTCACCTCTCCTCCTGCTTTCCTCCTCGTGCCAGCTTAGTCTCACGATTTAAGATGCCGTGCAATTATACTCGCAGAGCGAGCACATGGCTGGGATGTGATGGGGCTCCTGGGGAATGGTGCACATCGCGGAGAAATTCCCGCAGGTGACTTCGGAAGAGCGCGCGGTGCTCTCCGCGGTCAGGGGCCTCAAGTTCCACTGCAAGGGCCGCGTGGAGGTCTTCCCGTGCATGAAGGAGGCCAACAACAGCGCCGTCTGGGGCGCGTTCTTCAAGGAGGTCTCGTCCAGTAACCCGTGCTGGATGGTGCGGTCCGACGGGCCTGGGCAGAACATGGTGCCGGCGCAGTGCGTCGCGATTGTGCCCGTGCATGTCAACAAGAGCAAGAAGGAGATCAAGCTGTTCAACGTATGGTGTCCGGAGAAGAAGAAGCGGCACTGGTCCTTCCCCGGCGGGGACGTCGTGCGAGGCACCGACCGGAATCTGTTCGACACCGCCCGCCGGGTGTTCGAGGACGAGGTCGGGGTCTTCTTCGGGCTCTCCTGGCGCGAGTGCTTCGTTTGCGAGCTGCCGCAGGAGTGGTCCGAGGCGGCAGACGCGGCCGCCGTCTGCCTCTCCGTCCAGCTGGACACCACCGGCCCCAAGTACCCGTGCCGGCCCTACTTCTTCGTGCAGGTGACCGAGGAGCGGCGGCGCGTCGAGGGGGGAGAGCGAGAGGGGGCCGGCCTCCTCGGGAGGCGGCGGGGCTGCTCGGAAGCCCTCCCGCCAGGGGCTCAGAAGGCTTCCTGTCAGGAAGACAGCTGCATATCGGGTCGGGCGGGTGGGGTTGGGAGGCATGGGGCTGTCATTACCCGCAGTCGGCCGAGGGTCTCGTGCATGACGTCCGAAGGCTGTTGCTCATGCTCTTCGTCCTCCCACCCCCTCCCGCCCAACACGATGGTCGTTCTCCTCATCCCTGGAGGGCGCGAGCGAGGGCTCCCGAGGAGCCCTGCCGCCTGCCGAGAGGGCCCGCCCCCGTCCAGCCTTGCCCCGCGGGGGGCCGCGCCGCCGAGAGGACTTCTACGAGACCACGCGCGCGTACGAGGAGGCGAGTGGGGTGATCCGCATGCCGCAGCCCCAGGGCGCCTTCGTGCGCTGGGACGATGCCGAGCCCAAGGAGCACCGAGCGCGTTCGGCTGCTCGCAAAGCGCCTGCTCGCAAACGTCTGGAAGAAACATGTCTTCCGATAGAGGAGGAGGAGGAGGAGGAGGAGGAGGAGGAGGAGGAGGAGGAGGAGGAGGAGGAGGAGGAGGAAAACATAATAATAGTGCCCATACTAATGATGATGATAATTATAATAATAGTAGTAATAATAAGAACACGAACGCTAATATTACTACTAGCAATAATAATCATACTGCGAAGAAGAATAATAAGGACAACTAATAGTAATACTCATACTAGTAGTAATACCAAGACTAAGATAATAATAGCAATGGCACTAAGAATACCAACAATACTATTCGGAAGAAGAAGAGGAAGAGTAAGAGGACCCGCGGTGGATCCAGGCCGTTTGCGAGTAGTTACTCTGCGAGCAGTGCAGCGCGCTCGTCTGCAGGAGTCCGCCCGCCAGGTGCACCTCGAGGGCGCCCGCTTCCTGCAGCACGACGAGGCCTGCTGGGTGAAGCTGGAGTACGAGACGGGCAGGATTCACGGGCGGCGCGCACCTGCGGCGTCCCGGAGAGGCCCCTGCCCTCCAGGAGCGGAGGCGTAGCCTCCCTCGGCGGGCGGCGGCGGACGGCCCGCGGACGGCCGGCGGAAGCAAACGTCGGCCTCTCACTGAGGCGGCGAGGCCCTGTGATCCACGGCTTCCGGGACCCGCCATCCTCCTCCACGCCCTCGCAGCCGGCATCCCGGGGCGCGATGCCGTGGGGGGACGCGGTCGCACGGGTGCGCTCCCCTGCCGGGCGTCCGCGAGCAGAGGGTGCCCCGCGTGCGTGCGGTCGCGGCCTGGGGGCGTTCGGCCCGCGGGGCCGTGGGTGATACTTACGGTGTGGGCGAAGGTTCAGGAATCGACCAGACGTAAAAGTGACCTTTCGCCGGAGTGACCTTTGGTGCGGGCACAATGGGGTTCCCCGATCGCCGAACGCGATGCGATAGTAGCGCCTTGCGCGCCTGTGTTTGGTCCCCCCGTGGCCCCCCAAAGGCCGCGCACCAAAGGTCACTCTTACCCAGGGTCACTTCCTGCGTGTAGCCGAAGGAATGTGCCCAGGATGCTTCAGACCCCAGGGGATTCCTTCTCTGATGAGTGCGGCGGTGATAGCCACTGCCACGCCTCGATTGGTGCCCCACCGACTGCCAGGCCCTGGAGTCCTCATCCCATGGTTCTACGCTTCACCGCTCACGAGAGCGGCACCGTTGATGCGCCAGGCCTTCTAGGCAGAGTGCAGCAGTTCCTGGTTGCAGCGACGATCATCTTGTAACTACTGCGGTCATCATGCCGTGCACGGGGCGTCGGTGTCGTGCGCGGGGTGCTTCACCGCCTCCTTCCTCGTGATAGCTTTCATGCAACAGAATAGCCCGTTCAGCCAATATGTTCTCAGGTCGTCGTGAAGTGCCCTGGCCGTATGTTTCCCGCCCGCGAAGAGGATGTGCACCGACGACGGGCGCCAGGTGCGGAAGGAGAACGCCGACCTCATGAAGCTGCAGGACGAGAAGGTCTACAAGTACCTCGCGGACCTCTGCGGGCTCGACCCCGTGGTGAGGTGCTCGGCGCTGCCCCAGGACCTCCCCGACGACGGCCCCTTCGCCGTGCGCGTGAGCGGGATCGACAAGACCGCCACCGACGACGACATCCGGGCGTTCTTCGAGGAGAGCAGCGTCGCCTGCCAGAGGATCGAGCAGTTCGAGGTCCCCAAGCACACTGCCCGGGTCGACTTCCCCGACAGGCAGTCCCTGGAGATGGCGCTGCAGCTCAACAACCGGAACCTTCTCCGGCGCAAGGTGAAGGTCGAGCTCTGGTCGGACGACGGCGGAGACGCCACCAGCGCGGCCCCCTCGGCGGCACGGCCGCTGAAGCCGTACGATGGGCCGCTGCCAGACAGCCCCCCGTTCAAGATCTACATCCGGGGCCTGGACAAGAAGTGCACCAGGTCGGCTGCGAAATCCGAATTCTAAGCCCTCGCCCATCAACGATTCAGGCAACTCGATGGTTGGCGGGGGTTCGGGTTCGGACTTCGTCGAGCACGTGGCGAAGTCCAAGCCCTACCCCCGCCTCCCATCGATGCAGGAGAATCGATGGTTGGTGGGGATAGGGTTCGGATGTCGCCACCTACCAGGGACGACCTGGGCTACTTCTTCTGGGACCGGGAGTGCCAGGCGAGCGGCCCGCAGGAACGGCCCGCAGGAACAGTTGTCAGAGTCTTCTGGAGCCTGCGTGAGGCTCCGTCTCTGCAGCCCCGCTCTGCGTCGGGAAAGGGAGCTCCAGGACCCCAGGTCGGACCTCCTCCTCCACAGCCCGCTTCGCTCACGTCTCTCCGCCACGCGGGGCTCTCCCCCGAGCATGCGCCGGGCGCCTGCGCGGGCGGCCCCCAGAGAGCAGGCCCCACCCGAGCCCCACCGCGCGGGCACACCCGCGAGCGCCGGCCCGCCCACGTCCTCCTCCCTCCCTCCCCCTACTCCCTCCTCCCTCCTCCTCCTCCTCCTTCTCTCCTCCTCTCTCCTCCTCTCCTCCTCTCCTCTCCTCCTTCCTCCTCTTCCTCCTCCTCCTCCTCCCTCCTCCTCCTCCTCCTCCTCCTCCTTCCTCCTCTCCTCCTCCTCCTCCTCCTCCTCCTCCTCCTCCTCCTCCTCCTCCTCCTCCTCTCTCTCCCTGCGGCGTGCCGCGCTTCGGCGTCGCTCGGCGCCGGGCCGCCGCGCGGGGCCGCCGTGCCGTCGTGCTCTGGCGGGGGCTGGCCGGGCCCAGCGAAGAGCACGGAGCGCCCAGCGGGGGCCCACGGGCATGCCGGCAGGGCCCTGGCAGGGCCCCGGCAGGGCCCCGGGAGCGCAGCAGCAGAGCGTCCGATGGGGTCCCGGGGCTACGCCTCGGAGGTCCGCGCGGGGGGCGGCCGCCACGACGGAGCGCCACCGGGGAGGAGGTGCGGTCATGAGCTCTGGCTCGGCGTGTCGCGCCGCCGGTCCTGGCCCACCGCGCTTCGGCGCGACTCGCTGTCCACTTCCTGGCCCCGCAGCGTCACCGTCCCGAGCCTTGCCTGAGCCTGCCGCCCCGCGGAGCGGAGCGACGCGCTATATCTCCGCTCGCAGGGCATCCATCTCCGCGCGCTATCTCCGCGCCGCGCTGTCTCCGCTCCACGCGTGTCGCCAGGGCTGCCGCCGCGGCACGCTATGCGCAAGTTCCTGGCCGTAAGTCCGGCATCGTCGCCGTGATCGAAAACAGGCCGAATTTTGCATAATTCCGCTTGACCGCAATCCGCTCAATCCAGTTCAGTCGGGCTTTATTGAGCTCAATCCTGGGTCTAATTTGGGCTGATCCGCCGTAATCGGGCTTGAGAGCCCTTCATCGTTTTTACGGGGACTTCCCAGAAGTGGTATCCAAATTTTCGACGCTCAGGTGAAGGACGTCGACTACCCCCTCAAGAGGGAGAGGCACGCGGGCATCGTGGAGTTCGAGAACGTCGAGTCGCTGAAGACCGCAATGGGTCTAAACCAGGCCGTGTTCCAGGGCAGGGAGCTCGCCATCGACTTCCCCCAGAACATCACCGAGCGGCCCGCCGAGAGGGGCGGCGGCGGCGGCGGGTTTGGAGGCCGTCGTCGTCGTCGTCGTCGTCGTCGTCGCCGCAGTCGTCGTCGTCGTCGTCGTCGTCGTCGTCGTCGTCGTCGTCGTCGTCGTCGTCGTCGTGTTTGTCGTCGTCGTCGTCGCCGTCGTCGTCGTCGTCGTCGTCGTCGTCGTCGTCGTGTTTGTCGTCGTGATCGTGGGCGTCGTCGTGGCGAGCATCGTGGACGTCGTCGTCGCCGCCGCCGCCGTCATCGTCGTCGTCGTCGTCGTCGAGGTCGTCGCCGTCGTCGTCGAGGTCGTCGTCGTCGTCGTCGTCGCCGGTGTCGTTGTGTTTGTCGTCGTAGTTGCCGATGTCGTTGTGTTTGTCGTCGTCGCCGTCATCGTCGTCGTCGGGGTCGTCCTCGTCGTCGTCGTCGTCGTCGTCGTCGTCGTCGTCGTCGTCGTCGTGTTTGTCGTCGTCGTCGTCGCCGTCGTCGTCGTCGTCGTCGTCGTCGTCGTCGTGTTTGTCGTCGTGATCGTGGGCGTCGTCGTGGCGAGCATCGTGGACGTCGTCGTCGCTGCCGCCGCCGTCATCGTCGTCGTCGTCGTCGAGGTCGTCGCCGTCGTCGTCGAGGTCGTCGTCGTCGTCGTCGTCGCCGGTGTCGTTGTGTTTGTCGTCGTAGTTGCCGATGTCGTTGTGTTTGTCGTCGTCGCCGTCATCGTCGTCGTCGGGGTCGTCCTCGTCGTCGTCGTCGTCGTCGTCGTCGTCGTCGTCGTCGTCGCGTCGCGTCGCCGCCGTGGTCGACGCCGACGTCGCTGTTGGAGGCGGAGGCGGCCGCGGCAAGGGCGGCGGCAAGGGCAAGGGCGGCGGCGGCGGCTTTGGGGGCGGCGGCGGCGGCCGGGACCGTGGGGACCGCGGGGACCGCGGGGACCTCAGGGGAAGAACAGAATTCATTAACATGCATTTTTGGCGGTCCGCGCGGATTTGTTGGATCTGCGTTCGGCCTACCTGGCAACGCCTCTGGCGCGCTCTGCGCGCCACAGAGGAGGACCCTACGCCGACCCAAGGAATCCGCACGGACTTCGGATATGTATGCTTGCCCTGTTGTTTCTGTGTTCCTCCAGGACCGCGGGGACCGCGACATGGGCCGCGACCGCGACCGGGACCCGCCCAGCCGGGCGGACTTCGGCAGCGAGCGCCCGCGGCTGGCGCTGCAGCCGCGCACCAAGCCGCGCCCAGGAGAGCCCGGCTACGTGGAGCCAGGAGATTTCCGCAGGGGGCACCTCCCGTGCGCCACCACCGTGCCTGGCCAGGGGCATCTTGGGCCCCAGGATCGTGTATAGACCCTCCTGGCCGAGGCCAGGACGGCGCACCCGTCAAAACTTCATGCAAAGACGGCCGATTTTGCCTCTCGTTTCGGGCCCCGGGGGCCCTCACGGATTTACTCGGCTTCCGAAAGATGCAGCAGAGAGATGGGTCCAGGGCTCCGGTCGAGGTTTTCTACTATGCTGTTTTGTTGGGGTGGTGTCCGATCTCGGAGCATACACCATCTCACATGGCCCACGATGGACGATGGTCCTGGCCCAGGATCCACCGCCAGAAAGCAAGCAAGGCAAGTTGTATATCCAGTAGGACTCGTTGGCATGAGAACCTTTAGAGGCCGCCGAAGGAAAGCATATGTTTTACACTGCAGCTCAGAATTACGCTAGGAGAGGGGGGGCGCAGGGGAGAAGGCAGAACGGCCGAATTACATAGCAGAAGGGTGCTCAGTTAAGTTGACAGTGTATATACGCTTCTGAAGTCCACTGCTGTCTCGGCCGGCCGCGACGCCGATGTTCCACCCACGCCGATGATCCACCGCTCGGGATTATCCAAATCCGCTGCCCCAAATTCGTGCCCCAGGATATCGAGGACCTCTCGAGGAGTGGTGGATGTGGATATCTGGCCGAGCCGATCGGCCAAACCCTCCTTGGCCATCCCCCCCTTTCGTCCGCCGCTCTCCAGGGACCCAGGGCAGGACTCCCCCAGCTGCTCTCGTGAGGAGCGGAGCCAGCGTTGTCAAGGTAGTATTAGTAGCTAAGAGGGTGTCTGGTAGCCTGTGCCGTTTCGCATTGCTTTGCATCCTTTGTGTGTGTGTGTCTGTGTGTGTGATGCTTGCTGTTGTCTGTGTGCTCTTGCTTGTTTGATGTTTGCTCTTGCTTGTCTGCCGTATTGATTCACTGCAGGGCTTGAGGAGGAGGAGGAGGAGGAGCAGGAGGAGGAGGAGGCTGCGAATGAGGAGGAGTCGGAAAGATAGGAGAGGCTGGTGCAGAAGGACTGGGATGGAGAGGAGAAAAGCTTGCTCATCATGCTATTCTTCCTTCTCTTCCTCCGCCTCGGCAGCCCCCTCAGGAATGCCAGGCCCCCGTGAGGCGCCTGTCTTTCAAGGGTGTGCATCCAGTTGCGAGAAGGAATGCTTGAATATACTTGTGAGGAGGGGGCATGCGAGTGACGGGAGGGTGCACTGAGAGAGGGGAGGGTGCATTGAAGAGGATGCTGATGAGGAGGAGGAGGAAGAGGAAGAGGAGGAGGAGGAGGAGGAGGAGGAGGAGGACCAGGAGGCTGGCATCAGCGCGTTTTCGAATGAATTCCGATCGATCACCAGATCGAATATGAACGACTTTTTTTCTGGGGGGCTCGCATCGGTGCGTGTCCTACTGGATCCGGATTGAACAACAAACATAATAGTAGCGAATTATGCGGGACGCTGGGATTGGCGCATTTCTTATTGAGTTCATTGTGGAAATGAAACAAACTATTGTGAAGGGGCTGGAGGTGAAGCAGTTGCCGAAATGCGCTTGCTCATCATTGAGAAACGAACGGATTATTTAAGAATTCTGCAGGGAGTTGGCATTAGCGCATGTCCCATTGAACCCCTATCGTTCAACAAATCGAATCTTCAAACATTCAGAGGGAGGGTGGCGTCGACGCATGTCCTATTCAATTGAATTCCGATAGAGAAACACATAATGTTGATAATTCTGCTGGAGGCTGGGATCGGCGCATTTCCGATGTAGTTCATTTCGAAAGTACCAACAAATTATTGCGAAGGTGCTGAATATGTAGGAGGCGCCGACATGCGCTTGCTCATCATTGAAATCTAAATGAAATGTTTAATCATTTTGTGGGAGGTTGTCATCAGCGTATTTCCGGTTGAGTTCCTGTTTGCTACCAAATAGAAAATTGCAGCATCCTGCGGGGAGTTTGAGCCGGCGCGCTTCCTAGTGAATCCCGATTGAAATGCACATGAAATATCAAAGAATTCTGCGGGAGGCTGGGGTCGGCGCATTTCCTATTGATTTCATATTGTACAAGCGATTCAATCATTCGTGGAGGTGCTGAAGATAAAGCAGTTGCCGAAATTCGCTTTCTCTGGAAGGCGCAGTTGTCGTTATCGTCGTCAACGGGTCGAGCGTGCTCTAGATTATTGCGCATGCGAAGACAACACAGGCCACTGAACGCCTACTGACCTAGTTTCAGCAGTGGTAGTCGTAGTAGTCGTAGTAGTCGTAGTAGTGGTAGTAGTAGTAGTAGTAGTAGTAGTAGTAGTAGTAGTAGTATTAGTAGTAGTAGTATTAGTAGTAGTAGTAGTAGTAGTAGTAGTAGTATTCTTATTAGTAGTAGGAGTAGTAGTAGAAGTAGTAGTAGTAGTAGTAGTAGTAGTAGTAGTAGTAGTAGTCGTAGTCGTAGTCGTAGTCGTAGTCGTAGTCGTAGTCGTAGTAGTCGTAGTACTAGTAGTAGTAGTAGTAGTAGTAGTAGTAGTAGTAGTAGTAGTAGTAGTAGTAGTAGTAGTAGTAGTAGTAGTAGTAGTAGTAGTAGTAGTAGTAGTAGTAGTAGTTAGTAGTAGTAGTAGTAGTAGTAGTAGTAGTAGTAGTAGTAGTAGTAGTAGTAGTAGTAGTAGTAGTAGTGGTAGTATTATTATTAGTCGTAGTAGTCGTAGTAGTAGTAGTAGTAGTAGTAGTAGTAGTAGTACTAGTAGTAGTAGTAGTAGTAGTAGTAGTAGTAGTTGTAGTAGTCGTCGTCGTCGCAGTATTACTGGTAGTTTTAGCACCAGTAGTCGTCAAAGTAGTAGTAGTAGTAGTAGTAGTAGTAGTAGTAGTAGTAGTAGTAGTCGTGGTGGTAGTAGTGGTAATGGTAGTAGTAGTAGTAGTAGTAGTAGTAGTAGTAGTAGTAGTAGTAGTAGTAGTAGTAGAAGTATAACAGTAGTAGTAGTAGTAGTAGTAGTAGTAGTAGTAGTAGTAGTAGTAGGAGTAGTAGTAGCCGTAGTAGGAGGAGGAGTAGGAGAAGGAGTAGTAGTAGTAGGAGTAATAGTAGTAGTCGTCGTCGTCGTAGTAGTAGTAGTAGTAGTGGTAGTAGTAGTAGTAGTAGTAGTATCAGTAGTAGTAGTCGTAGTAGCAGTAGTCGTAGTAGTAATAGTAATAGTAGCAGTAGCAGTAGCAGTAGTAGTAGTAGTAGTAGTAGTAGTAGTAGTAGTAGGAGTAGGAGTAGAAGTAGTAGAAGTAATAGAAATAGTCCCAGTAGTAGTAGTAGTAGTAGTAGGAGTAGTAGTAGTAGAAGTAGCAGTAGCCGTAGTAGTAGTAGCAGCAGCAGCATTAGCGTTTGTAGTAGTAGTAGTAGTATTAGTAGTAGGACTCGTACTAGTATTCTTACTAGCACTTGTAATAGGAGTAGGAGTTGAACTTGTAGTAGTATGGGAAACAGTTCTGCTAGCTGCAGCAGTAGGGGTAGTGCTTGGGGTTGTAGTAGTATTAGTTGTAGTAGTCGTAGTCGTCGTAGTCGTCGTGGTCGTGGTGGTTGTTTTTGTCGTAGTAGTAGTAGTAGTGACAGCAGTAGTAGTAGTCGTAGTAGTAGTAGTAGTAGTAGTAGTAGTAGTAGTAGTAGTAGTCGTTGTAGT